CTTTTTGCGCGAAACTGCGATTTAATAGAAAGATGTATTCCTTCTCTTGGCTTTATATTTATATTTATATATATTTTTGAAAAAGGCTACCAATTTATTCGTTAAAAATATATGAAAGACATTTTACAATACCAAATAGGTATAGAATATAGCCCTGCTAGCTCGGTTTTAGATAGGATAAGGTAATTTCAGGAATATCAGTGTGTGCAATTCATTTTTAGTTACAAAAAACATGAATTTCATTGTTATATCAATTTTAACAAATGTTTGGAACAGGAAAATTATTTGACCAATATTTTCGAGATACTCGAAAAGCATTTTCAGAAAGAAAGAAAATTTATAATAAAAGTTGAAATAAATGACATTTTCGATTGGTCGCTAGTTTATTTTGTTTGTTGGTTTGTTTACAAGTGCCCAGACCAAAAGTAATTACACAAATGTTGGAGGATTAATCCACAACATTAAAATAAAGTTTTAATATCTCCATTTATAATTTGTTAAATAAAGTAAATATTTCAAACACTCTTTTTGGTCACCTAAGCGCGCAAATAAGCTTTCAATTTGTAAAAAATTCCAACTGTCGTGAATATATGAATTTTGGTGCATTAAGGAACATATAAAAAGCTGAATATTAATTTTTATTAAATAAATTATTATGTGAAGCCCTTTCACGCTTCTCTGCATATTTAGTGGTCTCCTTAACCGTTAAGGGTTTGGTGGATATAACATAATTGATTGAGACAATTAATAATCTGAGAGACGGCGGTAAAATACCGGATTTATTTAAATCCGGCCCTGTCGGCGTCTACCACTGACTACTGGTGATGACACAAAAGCTATAGCGCGGCGGCAAACCACCGGTGTCATTTTCACGAGCCCATTTTCTTGTCCTGTTCTCTCTTAACCCCAAGCCTGCCACCATTCTCTCTAACTCACCCTTTTCGATTCCTTCGTCTACAAAGAAAGACAAACATAATTAATTAAGAAATATTATTCGAGTTCTTTTAAATAAAACTTTTTAGATTCCGCCTTCCGGTTTACTTCTCGCGACGGATATAATTTTAAATTAAAATCTAAAGGATTACAGTGCGCCCAGAAATGGATTATTTATAAAAAAAAAACTATCGCAGAGTCTATCGCGTCGGACACGAGTTAGGTTCGATCAATCCGACGGTATATTTTTATTTTCCGAACGTTCCTGTTTTTATTTAATTCTACAAATTTAATTAAAGACTGCGAAGAAGACCCAAGGCAGATACGATGCTCTTCCATTATGTTCTACAACAACATTCGCACGGCAAGCGCTGTTTGCGTTACTAACACCGAGTACACAACTCGTAAAAATGTTTACTTATACTTCCTGTAATGACAAAGAATCTATTATTGTAACGCCGCAGAATAAAATTCGCATCTCCGATGTCGTATATTTAAATTTCTAAATCTAATTTGTCGAACGCGCGGCTGTGAAATCATTTAGGAACATCAAGTCAATGGACACGCCGTATGACTATATGAAAACCATATGCATTAACTTTAACACCGACGCTGCTTCACGTCCCTTGTTAAAACCCAAGTAGGAGGTTTACCAAGTGACTTATAATAATAGCACTTTATTTCCAACAGGTAAGATGACACAATTACAGGAAATACTAAATATAAATCATCCAATATATGTACCAGGTGGCGTAAAAACTAATCTTATAACTAAAAAAAAGGAGAAGGAAAGAATTAGAAAGAAAAGGATGACTTATCGGTACGGATAACCCGGCGCCAATCGAAGTTGCTGAAGTATGGCCTGGAGACCATCATAAAATAAATCGCAGTACGGTGATAGTTTGTTGAAGGTAGAACACGTATTGTAAATAGGGTTTTGAAAATGAACATTGGACCTGGGTAGCTGCGTTAAAAAAGTTGATTGATGTCTTCCTTCCAGCCGCGGCACATTAAAGCGTAATTGTTCCAGAAGAAACGGACAATCGACACGGTAATGAATTAACTTATAGAGAAATAAAACAGATTGCAAGTCTCTGCGCAAGCTCAGGGGCAGTATAGCGATCCTTCTTAGCAGAAGATCGTGATCAACTCCCCTCTCAGGATAGGAGCCGTCCTCCTTGAACATTAGATACTTTAGCAACCTTCTCTGCACACTCTCAATGGACTGAGTGTGGCAGTTATAAATTGGTGACCATATCAGCGAGCCCTATTCAAGCTTGGACCTAACGTAACAGTTAAATAACGATTTAACAGTAGCTGAGCTACAAAATGTTAGAACAAAAAGTTAGAACCTTGAGGTACGCCAGAAGTTGGAACAAAGGGAACTGATCTAAACCCCTCAATCTCAACAAACTGTCGACGGTTCGCCAAATAGGACCTCAGCGAATCAGAGAAACCAAATTTATGAGATGCTTTTTCAATCAGTAAGTGATGATCTATCTGGTCAAATGCTTTGTGGAAGTCAGTGTATATAACGTCAACTTGACTTTGCTTGTTCAGAGAGTCACAGATATACGAAGACAGGGAGCATACATGATCTTTTCACATAAAAACCATGTTGTTGGGATATAGTTTATTTCTAATTTGAGCAAAAATAAATTTATTTAATAAAATCTCGAATACTAAGCTTCAATTCGGGTTCCCCAAAATTAGCATTTTCGCAACATAAATATTTATTACAATAAATACGTATAAATCAAAAAATCATTAAATAATTGTTAACTGATTCTAAGAGACAACATAAAACAATTGCCTCAAAACTATAACTCCAGCAGATTTCGACCAATTTCTTAAAAAAAATTGTGTTGTAGTCCTTCATGTCCTTCATTCATTCGATAAAATTCCAATTTTGAAGATATCAAAGTAGGACAAATAACAAATTTTAATAATGTTCCTATAATTTTAACATTAACATTATAAATAAAAGCACTACTTTTTTGACAAGATCGTTTATGGAAGAATTTTGCTTATTGCATGGAATTTTAAATGTGAAGTTATATTTTAGAGTGAACGAAAATATTTATGTAGAGGTTTATTTCATTACTTTTCAAAAGTATGCAAAGTTATGACATTTTTTTTAATATTGAGATTCGAAAAAATGATGCAATATGCTCGTCGGAAGGTGTAACATAACAATGACTACTAGGGGGCTTAATGATCGCAAAACTGTGAAGTATACATAGTTCCAGTCCGTACAGTTTTTCAATACTGAGCTTTTTACATGATGGAGAAACCTCTCTGGAACCTAAAGACAAAAAGTTGCAGGTTGTTAAATTATCAATTTAATTTTCCAATTTTTATTTAACTTAATTTTATAGGATTTTGACCGAACAATTTTCGGAAATATAACATTACTACAATATACTTTGCGCCATCCTGTATGTCTCCTTGTTGATAAAGGAGTGCAAATGGGTACTGAGGAGGGTGGCTGAGGAGAGATAGGTAACGTTGGTCTGGGTCCCGGGTCACACCGGTATCCGGGGCAATAAGGCAGCGGACGCCTTAGCCAGGGAGGGCTCCTCGCATAGGCATATAGGGCCGGAGCCCCGCTTGGGGATCGCCCCGTGTGTGAGGCGGGGAGGTCTCGAAGCCTGGGCGAGAGACCGGGCCGCGGGGGGCTGGAGAGTTGCTCCGGGAATGAGGCAGGCGAGGCTTATGATGGATGGGCCCGCCCTTCCTCGGACCAGGGAGCTGCTTAGACTGACCAGAAGGGAGTGTAGAGCACTAACAGGGGCCTACACAGGACATTGCAGGCTTAGGAGGCATCTTTGCTTGCTAGGCATTGGAGACGACCCGGAGTGTAGGTGGTGCATGGAAGGGGAGGAGACCCCGTATCATCTGCTCACCTGCCTTGACATGGGCAAGATTGGGAGTCTTCGGAACGGCCCTGATCGATCCGGACTCAATGCACGGTATTGGGCTAAAGGAGTTGCTGACCTTCTATAAGAGGGGCGGCATTCTGGACGCCCTCTAGAGCGGCCTGGGGGCACAACGGGCCCATCTGGTGGCCTAAGTGCTTGGACGCCCGCGAGGGCGCCCCCCTTTAATACCAATACCAATACCAATAATATCATCCTGTATGACGATAATTAAAGAATTTTATTCTACTGAATCTATCAACAACAAAAAATTCGTAGTTGTTAAATCTATTATCTTTTAAAATATTTCATTTTTATCACATTTACAAAAAAAATTCTTTTATGGTATAGGCAACAGAATGGAATAGTTGCTTATTTGGCACTTAATTAGTAGATATAATTTAGAGTGTTACAATTTTACATATAGAACAATGCACATAAGCCATGAAGTACTAAGTCGGCTATTTACAAATCGTATTTCTTAAATATCTTAGCAGCTCTTTACTAAAAACATGTATCGGTGAAATAACTTCATTTTTTCTAGACCGGTTACGTTCTGTAAACTATGCATAATTCACAGCTTTGAGCCCAATAAACCCCACAAATGGGTATTATGTTACACCGTCCAATTTCATTTTTCTTTTCCTATCCATATATTAAATTGTAACAAATAAACCTCTATATAAATATTTTAGCTCACTCTTTATACAAATTGAATATTACATTTAAATGATCATGCCAAATTCTCCAATAAAACTTTTGTCAGGAAAATATGGATTTTGTTTATTTTATTTGATATTGTTAAAATTATTTTAAAATCATTAAAGTTGCCCTTTGTTTCACTTTGAGCCCGATATTCCGTCCCGAAAACTGGATGTAGGATCGAATTGGGCCCACAAAGACATTTATTCAGAATTTCAATGAGTACAACATTTTTTTTATCACGGAAACCGGAAAGTAGAAATTACTATCGAAATTTTTCAAGGAAAAGCAAAGTTTAGATGGCCTCTTTTTTGGATTTCACCTGAGTAGTCTCACGAAAATTAGTCTTGCTAACCAACGCCTTAAAATCATAACTCATAAATATAAGTGAAAACCCTGAAAACAATTGTTCAAGAATTGTTAAGAATTAATTTTCTTCTGTTGCAGATGTGGCGTACACTTTCGAACCGGATTTTTTGTTCCCCTTGGAAAACCTAACGGTACCCCAGGGGCGTGACGCTATATTCACCTGTGTCGTAAACAATCTGGGAGGATACAGGGTGAGTGGGGATTCAGCGACGGCCAGGGTGTGTATTTTTTCGATTTTATTCATGCACTCGTCGATAGGCTTCGGCTGATGTCCACATAGAAACTAAGATAAATCTATGTTGGCAATGGCGAGCTTATTTGGAGGCTGGCACCCAGCACAGAGCACTGCACCAGCATTGAGCACTAAGCACGTATGAAGAAGCACCATGCACCATATTCAAATTTAGATTTTCCGGGTGTCGTATCATGTTTTTCTCGAAAACCGCACGACCGAAGGCGCAATAGTGGTGGAGTTAAAATTCAACGCGTATTTTTCTCAACTTAATTTAATTCCACTGCTAATGACGGATCGTTTCTAAGCGAAGCATTTTTTCTGAAACAAAGACGCGGTACAAGATTTGTATTTTAAACATAAAGTCCACAAAGAAACGAACTTGCGAGATTAAAAACTTCCACGGCAAAAGTTTCTATCAGAGCTAAAGCAAACCATTTATTTTCCCAAGCGATTTAAGTAGTTTATGCAGCCATATTATAATAATTTATTTAACATGGGTATTTATCGACAGCCGAAGTTTATTTAGCGGATAACATTGTGTAAACTACGCCAGCAACGCAACGTTTTGATTTTCCTTTTCTTTCCCCGCTTTACACCGTTCCCTAAAGTTTTTTTTTTGGAGGGGGTGGGGGGAAACCGCACAATAATTCAACTTAATTTATATTATAATTAAACTATTAGTTTTTACTTACTAACCAAAACTAACCAAAGTAAATCAAAATTAATTTTTTTTTTGGTCGGCAAAAAAGTAAACGTCTATTTTGTGCTATAAATAATATCAGTATACAAGGTCTGAAGTTTGAACTATGTAAGTCAGCTGTGATCGTGAATCTCACAAAAATTTAATAAAAAAAATTAGGCAAATCACTCGTTTCATCACATTATACAGATTTGCTTATAGTTTTTGTATAAAACAATTCAAAAATTGTAAAATATGTGATGTTTCATGCACGGCTTAAAAAAATATGACAGGATATAGCATAAAATAATTGAAATACAGTGGTTGAATATGTCGAAGAGGCTACTTCATTAGATACATCTTTTTTTAGAATCTTTTTAAAAACAAAATAAAAAAATATATATAAAAAAATTTATTTAAAAAATATACAATTTCATCGTGTTTTACAAATAACCCCCCACCCCCACCCCTAAAAATTTGATTGCAAGTAGCACATATAGTCATGTTAAAGTCACTTTTTAGTAGACAGATAGAGGAATATAATTTAACCCATCGTTAGTCCCTTTGCAGGCAGTTCCTTAGTTATTTGTATTCAATTATTATAGAATGAAGACATAGAATATGCTATTATTTTTGTTTTATCATTATATTCTTTTTGTTATTTAAGTAGTATATGTGTTAAATTAAAAAAAAAATCAAAATTATTTAGATTTTTAGATGGACGATCACCCCATTCTTGAAATGGTCACATCAAAATACTGGTACCGCTATAATATTTAGGTAAATTTTATTATTTTTTTTTGTAAAAGTGTTTGGTAGGCCTGGATACACTACACCACTGTCTATCAATTTCTGGCCGTCTTTTTAATACAGTTTCGAATGAAGTCGAAAAACAACAATGAAAAACGGAGAGGTGAATGTGATTTTATCATAGCCCCAAGGTAGTCGTATCGTTCGTCTGCGTGTGACGGCCCACCTCTGGCTGTGGAAACTTTGATATGCAAACGAGATTACCATTATTCACCTCACTACTACTGCCCTGCGCGATGACAGTCTTACATCCCAGATAAAATGCAAACAACTCAGAAATATGCATGAAGGTGCACTCTTACATTTTTAATGCCCCCCAACAACTATATCCCTATCTCTTTCTCTAACAAAAAGGTTATCCTGTACATAGGGTGTTCAAAATTACAAAAATAGTTTCATTTGTGTCTAATTCTACCCCTAAAATGTTTACATGCTCAAAAACTCTCTTCATAAAGGGTCACTATGATTATGTTTCTTTTTTAATATTTCAAAACCAGTTCCCGAAAATGTTTGAAGGTGTTTTTTTGTTTCTTTATACCGTTATAAGAGAGGGTCTGCTTTTATTTCTTTTTTCATAAGATCAAAATTTCTTATTTGAGTGATATCAGCCACTTGTACTTAGAGGATGGTACTTAATGGCAAAGGGATAATTTTTGAGCTCATTCTATGAAAGCAACTTCCTATTAACTTTTGAGACACAGGTGGGTGATATTTCCGTATTCGTATAATTCACTATATTGTCAGAATATGATAAAAAAAAATGAAAAAAATTAAATCAACTCAATAAAATCACAACGAGGAATGATTTGACAATGACGTTTAAAAACTGGAATTTAATCCAGGCCCACCAGATATGTATCTTGAAAACTTAGTGTAGCCAAATGTATCACTTTTATTTTCAGCAAGTGTAGACTATCCAAAGAAATTTCCCAAGCTCACAATTTTTTTTAGAAACAACAAAATACATATTTACCAAAAAATCAAAAAGATATATAGAATCGCTTCTTAGATAATATAAAAAATATTTTTTCCTGAAAACTTTACTACCCTATTTATCAAACGGGAGTGAAATGATGTGATATAATGATATGAAATGGTATTAACACACCGTTCAGGTTATAATTATAATTATAATTATAACAATTATAACCACATTCATCCATTTTTGATAGCTGTGAAGAGGCTTTTTAAAATTTATAATATACTTTCAACTAAATTCGGGACACCCTATAAGTCCACCGTCTTTGCGTTAAAGTGAAATCAGTATCAAAAACGTCATTTAAACCGTGAATGGGGAATAATTTTAATTCATCTCTAAATTTATTTTCCTAACTTATAGCGCAACATAGATTCGCCCTTGTATTTACATTCAAATAAATAAAGTAAAAAATCGGCGGCAGCTTTGCCCGGTTTCCTACACCGCCCTATTTTTAATATTAAATTTACAACTCTTTAGAAAGTTTTTCTCTGTGTACATGTTTAATAATCCTGATTGCTATATTTGCGCGAACAACTGATGCGCTTTTTTAATAATTGGCAAACTTTTAATATGGATTTTTGCGTCGTGGTTTAGAAAACGATTCGGCTCATTGGTTTGAAGAAACGCAAACCTTCAGGACTTGGAGTCATTATAGAAAAGACTGTTTCTTAAATCAGATTGCTGCTCGAGTCTAGGTTATCTCGGTTCTTTTAAATATCAATTTAAACTGCTCACACCTCATTAAGTTTCAATTTTACAGCTATTGTCCCATCTGGGTTATAGCCTAGGGTAGTATGCAGCTGAAATCCGAGCAGCTACGCCGGTGTCGCGGCTTTCTTATATACTGATGTTCGTCTCATGATTGTTTTAAACTAAATTCCGTGCTCGATTTCGCTTCGAACTGTCTTTGCAGATTTCCTAAAAAACAATATACTGAAACATGATTATTATCTAGTTAAAAGACTAGATGAAATACTACCGAAATTATCTAATAGAAAAATTTAAGCTTGGCTGCAAAAAATTCTGCAAAAACGATAGAGCAATTTAGCAATTATTTAAAAAAAATCTTTAATAATTTAATATGAAATACAAATACGTATCGGGCAAATGAAAACACGAAAAAATAATTCACAAACTAAAGCATGATGCGGCACCATTTGTATATAGATGTAAGTATTTCTCAGTAGCATTTTATTTTCGTTTTGTATTATATTAGTGGTTAATTTGTTACCTAGTCACAAACAAAGACATTCTCTTCTCATCGTAATGAAGGTTCCCCGTATTTATTGAAAAGCAAAGGGCATTTTTATCAAATTTCCAGGAATTTCGAGTGTAACTGTAGTTTTCAAACAATGCGATTTTGCGAGTTCCTCCACATATTTTTCTTATTAATACTAGAAAGCCTCTTGTAAAATAAAACTGTAGGAATTTTTTGGTACGAAAAGGTTGGAGCATCGGGGACAAATACAGGACCTCTCAAAACACATGCGTCAAAGCTCAGATGGAGATTTTCCTCATTTAAAAAACAGTTGTGTTATGTTTAGTTTCTAAGATACATGGTGTTGTGTTAGTGTATTGCCTTTTCTCTAAGTCAAGGAGACCTGATTTTGATCATATTAAGCTGGATAATCCAAATATTTAGAATTGAATTATCATATCTTATATATTTGTAACAAAGTGCGATGTTTAATCCACAAATAATATCTACTGGCAGAAATTCCAAGTCATAACCCATAATACTTATATACATAATACATCGTAAGATTATATAATGTGCACTTGTAACAGCTGAAGAGAGTTCAGAGCTCTATTGCCAAAATAGTCTTAATCCATCTTATCCACTTTTTAATGCAGACTTTTTAATGCGACATTTTCAAATGAGAGTTTTGCCACATACTTACATAAATCTATTAGAAATAAAAACCATTTCAAATGTTTATTTATTTATTGTGTTTAAAAGCAAGGACGACCTCTAATAGTATTGTAACTACGGGACAGATACGATTATTTAATTTCTTTCATTTGTCAATTATAATGACATTACATTAAATAAATTGAGATCTTCTTGACAATCCTATTCGTTAAAAGATCTGTCAGGACTGTACTAGAGTTCAGAATTTTTATCTTGCTAAAACAAAAATAATCCTTTAACGTTACAAATGACTGCCAAATTTTAACAAAAAATGTCAGAAAATATTTAATACATTAAAAAAAGCCATTTAAATGAAATTTGCAATTTAAACATTTCCAGACCTATGTTTATGTGAAACTGTTTTGTTTTCATTTTGGACGACAAATCTCCAGTCGAGAGTTGGCGCATGTTTCTTGAAACACCCCGTATACTTCGTCAATTTTCAAATTAAATTATACCACAAAGTCAAGGTTAAATTTGAAGATATTCCGAATTAATCTCGCTGACAATTGCCAGCGCAAACAATGGCTTTAATCGCCCTCACGATGGTCTTTCAAGTCTAAAGCGCCCAAAGCTTATGCATTATACATATTTTCAAGTTCCCATGCTTACTTGATTTCTCCCGAACAGTAATATATATCTATTAAATAGTATTTTCTCGTAATTCTCGGTTCCCGCAAATATTTCCATTAAATTTTGAAACAGGTTGCCTGGATAAAAGCCGACACGAAAGCAATATTAGCCATCCACGAGCATGTGATTACCAACAACGCAAGATTGTCCGTAACGCACAACGATTACAACACGTGGACATTGAATATACGAAATGTTCAACGCGATGACAGAGGTCAATATATGTGCCAAGTGAATACCGACCCAATGAAAATGCAGGTAAGAAGGAACGCTGTATGTTCTTCGCTCCCGAATTGATGTTTACGACTTTTCAGACGGCATTTTTGGAAGTGGTGATCCCGCCCGATATCGTATACGAAGAAACGTCGGGTGACATGATGGTGCCAGAAGGGGGGTCCGCCAAATTGGTATGCAAAGCTAGAGGTTACCCAAAACCAAAAATCGTGTGGAGAAGAGAAGACGGAGGTCCTATTATAGCCCGAGGACATCATAATTCAAAAAATGAGAAACTTGCTGAGGTGGAGGGCGAAGTTTTGTCCCTTACCAAGGTTACGAGGTCGGAAATGGGTGCCTACCTTTGTATAGCTACTAATGGGGTGCCGCCTTCCGTCAGCAAACGGATGATGCTGCACGTTCATTGTAAGTCAAATCAGATTCTAGTTAAAAACGGCAAAAGTTAAAATGTACATGGTTGCTTTAATTGCAGGGTTTTAACAGGACTCGGTTTCTGAGAAATATTTAATAGGTATGACCTTTAAAAAATGCCCGTATTATCAAAATTACTAAAAGTTGCCTGAAAGTTTTGTTTAATATAATATAAATAACAATAATTAACTAATATTTTATTTGAAAAGTACATTTTGGTGGGATTTTAAATATACGTTAATTGTGATTCCACACCCTCAAACAAGTTCAAGATGAAACCGCATCAAAAATATAATTCCACAAGCATCACCACCACCGCTAACCAAAAGGCTAACATCCTGTACATGTACTCGACAATTCATAAGTTATCCTGTTAAATCAGACGTTCTCTATTGGCGACAAATTAATTTCTGCCGCTATATCTAAGTCATTTATTCCGATGTGACAGTTTCAAAACAAAAGGTACATCACATTAATTCTAACCTCCGTGTCGTGCGGCCAACAGAAACATGGACTATAATTAAAATGGACACAAATATTATTTTGTAATGATGGATTTATAATCTGTTGTGCTGTTACCAGCCGCGTTTTGCCATTCATCGTTAACTGCTGTTGTTTAACCCTACGCCCGGTCTATTTTGGTAAATGACATATGAATTAAAAACAATTCTCTGCGTATTGTTCTCCGTTAAGGTCCCAACGAAAATGTAAAGTATACTTCAAAACATTGATTCATCTACATGACGTCGATTTCACGGAGGAGGATGCGACAGCCTACACATCAAAACATTTTCCGTTGAAAATAATCTGGTGATAATTTGAATCGCATCAGAACATGGCAACAATAATTTATCAGATAAAGCTATAAACCGTATCGACAACTGCAGTAGTTCCGACTCGCTCCTGCAAATGGAGCTTGGACTATTTGTTTTTCAAATAGCAATACAATGGTAACAATGAATATCGAAGCTTTGCAAAGTGCACGATTTTATAGGGTCCTGAATCAATACAAAAATGTATGAAGAGGATAATTTAATACAAATTGAGGAAAATCGTGTTGTTTGGGAAAATTAAAAAAGGACGAAAACAATATGCATTTCCTACGGTGAAAGGTTTCGGTTATTTTTTTCTAAAAGATTCATACCTACTGGTTCATAACAGCTGAATTCATAAAATCATAAAATGTGGCCTTTTTAGAGGTTTTGGAATTTTAAAAAACTATCAGTAGGTTTTTTCCATTTTCCAAAATGGTTCTTTCGAAAATCACAATTTGTTTTCAAATGTGTTGGAAGAAATTGCAATAAATACTATTACAATTTTTTTTAAATACGGATTAGAGTTTCAATTGTGTATAATATAATGCTACTGATTAACTCCAAAATAATTGTGCATCTTTATGTTTATATTTAGAGGAACAATGGTTTTTATCTTCACAAAGAAATATTATGCTAGTGAATCAAAAAATTGTACTAAAATGACAATTGCGCTAGCGTAGCAGAATTTGGGGAACGTGAATCGACCATTTGCCCCTGTCGTACGCATCTGGTAGTAACCAGAAGCATTTATTCAGCATAATCACGTAGAAACTATACTTCCGACAATTATTACAATGAAAATAAGTAAGGAGACACATTTTATTTAAGTGAATTCGGCTAAAACTTAACATCTTGAGAGCTCAGGATTCTGCAGTTAAAATATTTCCAATTATCAACAATCACCCTCAGTAAATTGAAAGCTCCAATTCTAAATAAATGATCAAAAAATTTAAATTTTTTGATGATATGATGAAAAATTCTGAAGAAAATATTTTATGTGTGTATAAAGAAAACATAGCAAAATATTCTGGAATGCCAATTTTGACAACAGATACAACTCAGAACCTCAACGTCACAGGCAACTTTTTATTTTTTTTCTAATTTTATCAAGGTGGTTCCTGCAATAATTCCTGCCACGACGGCTAACTAAAATAAACCACTATTCAGCGAGGAAAAAAAGAAGCGATGCTGACATTTTCTCGAGTTTAGATGAAACTGATCAAGATATAATACGGCGTAAAATTTACCAATTATACGTGTCTACATTAGATATCTTAATTAGGACGCTTGAATAAGATGAAACCGGTGTTAAATGTAGCAGAACCACCCTATGGAAGTGTATTCAACACATGGGTTTTAGATTTTAAAAAATTGACAAAAGGCAAGTTTTAATGGAATCTTTAGAATTCGGAAATGGCGACTGGAATATCTAGAAAAAAATAGGGTTTACAGAGAACAACAAAGGCCAATTAATTACTTGGATGAAATCTGATTCGACACTTATGATACCCCGAAAAAGGGTTGGGTTGACTCAACTGATAAGTGTAAAACAAACGCGCCATCAAAAAGAGGAAAAAGAATAACTATTTTGCATGCTGGCTCTAAAGATGGTTGGATTCCAAATGGACTTTCTCCGTCTGCTAAAAATATTAAAGATTCTTCACTGGATTACCATGAAAACACCACCGCTGATTTATTTGAAAGTTGCTTTAAAAACAAACTAGTTCTAAACATTCCTCCTAATAGCGTAATTGTAATGGACAATGCAAGTTATCACAGTAGACAGTTGACGAAAACCTCTTCCTCATGTGACACAAAAGCAACAATCCAAAACTACATGTTCAATAACGAAAATATTTTCACGAAGATTATACCAAAAAGCAGTTAATTGAGGTTCTACAAAGCTTGAACCTACAAAAGGAATACGTCTGTGATAATTATGCAAAAAATCTAGGGCATACAGTTTTACTGTATATTTAATACCATTGAACATGTTTGACACCAACTGAAATCTGCCATTCGTCGTAACAATGTTTTCCCCGTGTTAATTCCAATGTCCTCAAACTTATAGAAACCGAAGTTTTTAACATCCCTCCACAAAGTTGGGCAAATTCTGTTAAACATATAGAAAAAGCAGACCAATCGTATATCCATATTGCAAATAATATAGAACAAATAATAATTAGAACAGGCGATGATAGCAATAGTGATACTGATGTATTATGTGAATAATTTTAAGTAATTTAAGTAGGTAATAAAAATAATTTGTAATTTTATTTTAGGTTTAAACATAAATAAATAAATATTGTTTAGTATTTTTCCTAACAAAACCCCAAATAATTAAATACTAAGCAAAGTACGGACCTGCTCGTTCGTATCAGTTAGTCACTTTCTTGTATCTATGAACAGACTTTACCTTATTATTATTAAATTACCGCAAATTTTGATTTAAATCACAATTTATATTGAAAATACCGTGATTTCAATTATACAGCCTTTTGAACAATTATTATTCTGCGCTCCACGAAAACAGACCAAACACGGATTAAAAAACTTTCGGTACATAATCCGACATTTTTAAACATAAAAATGACCTTAGATAAATCAAAAGCTTAATAAAGGGAAAACAAATTAACCGACTCGATCACGGTTTTTATTTGTGTTGGCGGATTGGATAATGTAACCCGGAATTCGGTGAAATTGACGATTATGGTATTTGTGAAGTTCGGAAACAATTTCAATTCACGACCGTTTCCGAAAAGTCGGTTACTTTTCGGCAAGTCAATCCGTCTCTCTTGTTATCAGTTTTCGGTTTCTGTAACAATATGGTGAATAATTTGATTGGGCCCCTAAAGTTTTATCGTCCTGGGGGGGAGAATGAATTCCGATTACACATCCGTTGCTGCGTGGCTGTAAAATAAATTATGTAAAGTCTGAAATTGAAAGTCATCTCTTTAAGAAATGTCAGTGTTGTGTTGAAGGCGTCCTCCCGTAGCCTGCACGTTAAAAAGCGTGAGAAATTTTAATTCAGCGTTGAAGACGTTCTGAAAGCTTACCAGCTTACCGTTATGAATCACTGGCCCGGGCCATTCGAATATCATTTAACATTTCGTGCATTTACTCCCCCCCCCCCCCCCCTTCCCAAACCCGGACACTTTCATAACGAAAAAAAATCCCTACTTTCCGTAATAATCTTTTCCTCATTTCTTATCAATTTGGCCCGATCGTTTACCAATAATTTTATATATATAGTGCTTTTATGATTTCGAATTTGTATTTAGTGCGGCAATAATCAGGATCGAATTACCAAAAAGCGATCTCATTAGACATGGCCAAGAATCGTCCATTTGTTGAATAGTAAATGGATTAAATAGTAAAAACACTAGATACCAAACAGGGTAGGTATTAGGGGACTCCATATTCAAAGAAAAAATTAAGGGATTAAGGCACTGACCAGCAAAGACGATCGCCATTATTGGTGCTGCAGACATTTGTTTTGGGCAGCAGATTAGCTTTTCAAAGAATCAAAAAAGGGGGAAAACCACAAATGCTATAATGTGCATTTATCCAAATTACCCACATAAGCGGGATCTTACTACGAATTCAGGTTCCTAGGCCAATATGCAACTCCTGACCAGTAGAGTTTTCAATTCAACCTGGAATTTTTTCTAGCTCCAAATCAGATAGCAAATTAATTTATAAAATGAGGTTAAATTATTTTACTTTGATTAATTATCTATATACCATACCATACAATACCATACAGTGTACTTACAAACAAAATAAAATTAACAGTTTACCACATAAAGTAGAGATTATTGGACATGATATAAAGAACAACAATTTACGCTATTATCAGATGTATTTTAAAAGCATTGTAATGTAAACAATTCATAATGATTCTCTACCGAGGAAAATTCTTTCTCCACGGAAAAGCTTTACCGGCCACCCTCCCGCGCTGCACCTAACGAGCCCCGAACGCCCCGATACGATTTGGACAAATACGGCCATCTTAAAAAAACTAACATTTAACACACACAAACACATACAAAAAAAATCATTTTAAAAAACATAGAATGAAAATGAAAATCAAAAAAGCATTAAGATTTAATTTTCGGTATGACTAAATTATAGAAAATTATATCGGCATCGATAATGCCATTAAAACGATTTAACTTA